GTGCACACTACCAGTTACAGCTAACCGCATGACTTCACGGTCACTGGTCATGATTTTGTGTCAGGTGAATAATTTGTCACTAGGGAAAGGCAATCTAGATTTTTATCTCCCACAGAGATGCGAGAAGAGAGAAGGTATCTGCAGTTCCTCTGAAGATGCTAAATGGTGGCTCCCCAGACAAGTTCGTATCTCCCAATCCACAGTTTATGTCTATCAACTTAAAGGCCACTGTGAATCTTTTCCAGCTTTAAGCTCCAGGAGATTTACAAAAAAGCATTGGCCGATGCTACTCTTCTAGATTCTGTAGGCACTGACCACCAGTGATACATCTTTCAGAAACTGGGTAACAGAGTGAGCGTGTATAAATGAAAATCCTGCTGTTTTCTTACTGTGAAGTTAAATTTAGAGGCATTTCAGTGAAGTTACTGTAGTACAACCTCATGATCAATTTGAAACTTAGTAGAACTGGCCGGTTCAGTTTGCTATATGGCTACATACTGTGCTTCTACAGGCGGTTGGTATTTCTTCTCTGAACGTTTCCAAGGTGACAGTAGCTCATATATGGAGCTTGCTAGCTTTTAGGCAGGAAGACATGCCAATAACGGCATCTTAATTTGCAGTGTGGTTCATATCAGATTACATAAAACAACTTCTCTGCCCCTATTCTATGATACGGATCAACGCTGGGCTGTAAACAATGGCAAAACTTTGATAAGCATCTTACCAATGAGTCACCCGTACAGATGTAGTAAGAAGGAATGAGAGGGGCATTTGCTACCAGAGCACTCCACAGAGGAATGACCAGGGATGGCATCAGCTGGGAGTGCACCATTGAGAGCCACGCATCTGGAGTGAGACAATCATCTCCAGTCCTGGAACTAGCCCTGGCTCAGGGGCAAAGTGGGGAATTTCATCCCAAATCTGTTGCGCAGAGAAGAGAAAAAGAGGGCAAAGCATCTGGCCGTGCTGCGCTTCATGACTATCAAAAAAATCTATGCAGACTGAGGGAGGAACTGGATGTTCTACAGAACATTTGGAAACAGATAAAAACTAGATTTCTCATCCAGTGCTTTAGGTGAAAGGAAAATTAATGTCGTGGTTATACAGATATTTATTAAATAAAGACACATTTGTGTTGGGGCCATGGGACATTTATACAGTGCAAGTACAGTACAACCTCTGAAATGAGCTAAATATTCCCACCATGCAATTGCTACTAATATTCTCAAATCTCATTTATAAAATAGGCATATGTATGTAATTGATGTATCTTTAGACATTTGGCCTAGAGATGTTGCCACAACAGTCTTTCACAAGCTGTTTATGTGGAATCGTTGAAGAGTGAAACTAATTACCTGTGTGGTACATTTTTTGCCTCTAAAAATTATATGTGACAATATGACATCTTTACTTTGCTGGCAGTAAAACCACCTGTCCTGTTTAGAAAATGATCTAGTAAGAATATCAGGTAATGCAGTGCAACTGTAAAATAAATTTAAGTAATGTCCTTTTGATATGCTCTCAAAATCCTGAGGTAATAAAGGACTATGAAAACTTTTTATTTGGCCCAAATCACTGAGCATATTTCTCCTCAATCCCATCAAATTATGCTCTCCAATAAATTATTTTACAGTAGCAGTTACAAAAGTATGGATGACTATGATCAGGAAAAAGTCACACCTCCTAAATGTTCCAGAAGAATACTTGAC